TGTGCTTGATTGAGAGGAGCATGGCGACCTCCTTCTTCACGAATTCCCTCCTCTCGGCGGAGAGGGGTCTTCTTCGTTGCTGCACTGCCTTTGCCGAAGGGTCCACCGAGAGGCGGTGGGTGATGACCCTTCGGCTGATTCCAGGCATATCCCCCGGCCCCCATGCAAAGACAGTGGAGTAGGCGCGGAGGGCGTCGGTGATACCGGTCTTCAAATCTTCAGGGAGCTGGGCTCCAATCTTCACGACTCTCTCCGGCTGGGCCGGATCGAGCGCAAAGTCTTCTACGTCCTCGGCCGGTTCAGCCCTCGGCCTCCTTTCCTCTTGGTCGATGGTTCCGGTGATGGTGTCAACACGGAATTCCGTCTTGCTTACCTTCTTAGTGACCTGAAGATAGCAGGCGCGGGCAATTTTCTGGTTCCCCCGGGAGTAGCCAATTCCCCCCTCGGCGGGAAACTTGAGGCAGAGATGCCTCATGGAGATGATGGCTTCGAGGTCCTCGAGGGCTGGCCAGCCGAGGATGATGTTGTGGGCGCAGTCAATGTTGACGACGACGAACTCCACCTCGAGCTGGGCTCTATGGAGCCCGTCGCCGAAGATCACCGGGAGGGTTATTACCCCCTCGGAATCAATAGTGTCGCCGGTGAAGCCGGCAAGAGGGGTCTTAATGGGCCGAAGGGACCCCCTCTCCAGATGCAGCTCTCTGAAGGTGCTGAGGTACATTACATTGACGGAGCTGCCCGTGTCAATGTAAGTTCGGTGAATAATGGTGTCGTTTATCTCCGTCCGAATCACCAAAGGCATCCCTGTGAGGAGAAGAAGTAGGAGGGAGATCTGCGTTGGTGAAGGTGATGGGTTCCTCCCTCAGTCTCTTTACCGGGGGCATATGAGTGACTTCCCCCACGTAAAGCGATTGAGCCCACTTCTTTCGCTGGCTGGTGGAATCGCCCCCTGTATTGCCACCGGTGATCATGAGGATGTGGCGTTTTTTCTCCTGGTAGTGGGGGTATTCCTCCTCCTCTTCTTCCAAGTTCCCAATCTCCCTCTTCTTGCCGAGGGGGATGGTATTCGGGTTTACCCAAGCGTTCACCTTCGTGTGGTGCCCTCGGGGAGGTCCCTGATGAGAAGGTCCCTCCCGCCGAGGGCTCTGAACAAATTGGGACAGGTGCCCCGCTTGTATTAACCTCTCGATGGCCGTCTTTAGCTGATGGCAGTCATCGGTCCTGTGCCCCTAGTGCCGATGGAAGCGACAGTAGGGGAACTGAGTTTTGATAGCATGTACCTCCGGGGGTGCGCGAGAGTCGCGCTCAACAAGGCCCCTCTCCTCGGCAAAATCGAGGATGATGCTGACGGGGTGCGTCAATGGTGTCCGAGGGCGGTCCAGGAGAATGGGTTGGGCCCAAGTCTTAGGGTTGACCTTATAACCTCCCCCGGGCTTGGCTTGGCCTTGCCGAGGGCGGTCATCAGAGGGTCCCGAAGCCTTGGGGTGATTTGGAGGAGCCCCCGGCCCTCGGTTATGCTTGTTGTCAGCCCTCGGGGGCTGCTGGTCTGGATGCTGGTGATACTTCTCCACCTCCTCGGCCTCAGCATATCGGTCCCCCCGCTGCAAAGCCCTTATGTAGTCGCGGGGGGGTTCAATGATGAGGCTCCTTGAAAAGTTGCCGGTGCGGAGGACGGTTTGTAGGAGGGCCAAGAGGGTCCCGTCATCAGCACCGTCGACCTTGTCGGCCTCCGTCCTCCAGCGCTCTAGGAAATCCCGGAGGGTCTCATCCTTCTTCTGGCGTATTGTTAGGAGGTGGGAGAAGTGCTTCCTCGTGCGACGCCTCCCGGCAAATTGTGTCAAGAATCGCTGGGCGAGTTCTTGCCATGAATCAATACAACCCTCGGGCAGCCTGTTGAACCATTCGTATGCCGGCCCCTCTAAGGTGGAGAGGAACCAACGACACAAATATTCATCCGACGCCCCTACCATCATCATGTTGTTCTGGTACTTGCTGTAATGTTCCTGGGGGTCCGTTTTCCCGTTGTAGGGCTGTATGTATTGCCCTCGGTATTTCTCCGGGATCCGGGCCGCCAATACCCTTGGGGTAAATGGCGTCCGAGTCCGGAGCTGGATGACGGGTTCTCCGGAGCCCTCGGCCACCTTCTTCTGTAACTCCTCCATTTTGGCCATCATGGCCTCGTATTTCAGGTCTGAATGAGGGGTGGAGGTGGTGGCGTGAGCTTTATTGGACTCCATCTCATCAAGCCGGCGTTGGAGGGCCGCAATAATTTCGTCCCGGGGATCCTTCGGGAGGGCCTCCGCCCCCTGCGAACGAACCCGGGCCGAGTGGGCCTGGTTGATCTGGTGGCGAGCGTCATCGGCATGAAGGGGTGCCTTGCCTTTGTCCCGAGGGGGACGCTCCTCGTCTGCCCTCGAAACAGATCCCCCGCTTTCCTGGGGCCTTTGGAGTGCTTTCCCCCCGAGGCGGTCTTGGACCCCTCGGCGGTCTGGCCCTCCTCCGAGCCGGTTGAGGGCGGAAGTACGGGGCCTTTCCCTGTTGTCATTATGGCGGTCCCGGGACTGAACTTCCTGGGAGGACGTATCTGGGGCCACCACCCCTTCGTCGTTCCTCACCCGAGGGGTGGGATTTCCGAAGGGGTGTGGCAGAGGGGGAAGTATGATATTTTCCCCGATCTGAGGGTGAGCTGGAGCCAGGGTGTCGAAGGCGCCCGGGTTCTGGGTGAGCGTTTGGATGAAGGCGGAGAGCGCCGATTGCACGTCGATGGTGAGAACCGGAGGGCTGACTTGGTCATCGCTCCGGTTTTTCTTCTTGGCCTCGATGCCGAGGCGGGCATCGGGGGCATTTTGTTGGATCTGAAGGCGTAGGTCGACAACCGTCTGTTCCAGCCCAGCGATGACACCGCCCTCGGGAGCCCTGTGAGAGGCTTCGGGGGCGTTGACGTCGCCGAGGGCCAGGTTCTTGTCTTCTACGTTCTTTGAGTTGGCACGTGTTGTCCTCACCATTTTGATGGGGGGCTAGTGTTTTGCGTTTGGTCGAGGAGGAGGGTTTCTTACTTGATTGTTCGAACTCTCAACGAGAGCACCAAATGATGGATAGTCTACCCGGGGGTATATATCCGAAGGGTTATTACGGGGAATAACTTAGAGAGAAGTCAGAGCAAGTAAGTAAAAGTAGAGAGAGAGTGTATTCAGTATGAATGTCGTTATCAGCGTGGTTACAAATGAGGAAATGGGGTGCTATTTATAGTAGCAATAAATGCCGGACAGGGACACGTGTCAAGCGCTCATTGGCCGAGGGGTCACCTCAACTGGTTGGCGCTGGTAGCCTCATGTGGCCGCATTTAATGCGGCTGTTGGATGGGACGTCTGTGCGGGGTACGGTGATCTGCACGCATGTGAGGCGGATATCTTGTCGGGTGAGATGCCTTCGGCTATAGAGCAATGGCCGAGGGCTCCTCCAACCGATGGCACTCTGGTGCCGAGGGCTCACAGTGCCGAGGGCTACTGTTTTCGCCGTTTTCTTCCAGTCTCTTAATTTGCTTGCGAAGCCCGTCCTGTGAGAGTTTAGAGCCTTCGGCCAGGGGGCCGAAGGCACCCCTGGCGCATAGTGCGGGCTGCTTGGTACTCTGGGCGCTGTGATCTGGGCCTGTTGAGCCTTCTGGGCCTGTTGGGCCTTCACTGGAGTAGTGGGAGTCTGTGGGCCGGGGTTTCCCGGGCCATATACTCCATCAGCTACATTTCCCCCTTTTATAAAAATTTTTCTTTTAAAATACTCAATTATACTTACTTTTTCTATTTTTTACCTTCTCTTTCAAATTTTTCCACTCTCTTCTATTTTTTCTACATTATTCATTATCACTACATCCCTACTATTGCACTCTTAAAATACATGGGGAGTATAACTTTTGACTTTTGATGTAGGACATCAGGGGCGGAGCTAGGGGTGCTTAGGCTAGGCCCTGCCCACCCTAAACTTAAAAAATGCCAATACTTTTTGTTTAAAAAAATTCGTGTAACTTTTTTTCAATAATATTCTTTGTACCAGTCCGTTCTGGCCCAGTGTCCTGACTCTACCCCGTAGGATATACTTATAATTTACCCTCTATGTGCAAAAGGTTGACTTTCCAAAAATAAAATAATGGTGAAATTCACGATGTAATTTTTAAAACCCTCCAGTTAATTACATCCATCAACGTGTCATGCGAGATGATTCTACAGTTTAGCACATTTCTCTACGGGTTAACAATGTGAAAAAAGTACACTATTACCTTCGAACTCCCCTCCATTTTTTTTTGTAAATTTACAAACAAATAAGGATGTACAAAAACCAGGACCACATGAAGCATTGTTCTTTTACGTGTTTGAAAGATACTCTATTCACATGTCCTTGTATCATTCACAAAACTTGAATCTGCGATTTTGCAAAAAAAGTCAAAGTTATGAGCTTCCAACGTGCGTCATTCAAATAAATTCAGGACCATTAGAATCTAATAGCACATTAATGTGTAATTTTTTTTGGAATCTAATACTAGTAGCACCTTACTTAAAATCCTTCAAGACGTTTAAGTAGTTAAATATGCCACTCTTTGAAAAGTATAGATGTGAACATATTGACACGCATTAGGGGCACAATTTATAACGTGGGATCGGCCACCATGAACATGATATGCCGATCCCAAAACGACAGCGTTTTCTTTATTAATTAAAACAGGGAGTGAAGAAGCTCATCGTCCTTTCCAGCGTATGTTCTTTCTCTACGGCCAAAAATTCAATTTCTTTACTGATTCGAATCCTCCTGAACCTCCTCGCTCAATCAAATTCATTTATTATACTTTGTATATATGTATCATAGATAGTTGCCGCAGTCCACAAGCCTGGAATTTGTCGTTTGGATATAGGAGCCACCGCCTTGGATATCGTTTCCGCTGCCATGGATTTTGATTTGCCGTCTGCTGAAATCTGGAACAGAGGCGTGTAGTGAATCGTATTTCAAATTGTCGAGTAATTTAGGAGACCTTGCTTGCAGTCTAGCCGGGAAGTTCGTCGTAGTCTTTGTAAGCAATTGTGATTTTCATTGAATTGAAAAAGAATAGTACATCCGTATATGTAAGCTACAGGCAGTAGAGTTCAACTAGGATTCTAGTACTCATTCGTGCAGTTGGTTACAGGAGATATACATGAGTAAATACATATGGATATATACTAAACTATTAACAATAATTAATGATAATGGTTAAGATAAAAACTGATTAATGTATATCCTTTATACGCCCCCTCAAGATGGAGGATCCATCGGAGACTCCCATCTTGGACCGAAAATAGAGAAAACCAGCTCGTCCTAGTGGTTTTGTGAGGACATCTGCCCGCTGGAATTTGGAAGAAACATGATGAACAAGAAGAGAGCCGGCTGCAACCAAATCACGTACAAAAAAGTAATCCAAGGCGAGATGTTTCATGCGAGAATGAAACACGGGATTTTTGCAGACATAAGTTGCACTAAGACTATCAGTAAACAAGCGTGGAGGAGCGGTAAATGAGATAGACAGCTCACGAAGTAAATGTTGAACCCAAAGAACTTCGGCGGCAGCATTGGCAATCGCTCGATATTCCGCCTCAGTGGAGGATCGAGAGACTGTTTTTTGTAAAGCAGATTTCCATGAAATAACATTAGAGCCCAGGTAGATGAGGTAAGAAGTAGTAGAACGGCCAGCAGTGTCCGGGCCGCCCCAATTGGCATCACTAAAGGCTGTAAGGTTCAAAGGAGCATCAGCGCGCAGTAGAAGACCATGACACATGGTTCCTTTAAGATACCGTAAAATGCGTTTGGCTGCAAGCCAATGAGCAGCCAACGGACCATGCATATATTGAGAGAGCCGATTTACCGAAAAGGAGATATCAGGCCTGGTGTGTCCGAGATATTGTAATAAGCCAAGAAGTCGTCTATAGTCAGATGTATCAATGGCCCGGGAGGGATCAGCAGGGGGTAGACGTTCATCCGAGGCCATGGGAGTAGTTACTGGTTTCGCTCCATCCATGTGAAACTTGGTCAAAATATCGTAAATATACTGAGACTGAGAGAGAAACATCCCAGTAGGTGTAGGAATGGCTTCGATACCCAGAAAGTGATGAAGAGTGCCCAAATCCTTTAAAGAAAATCGAGCAGCAAGTATAGCAATAAACCGATTCAAAATATTGTTATCATTACCCGTGAGAACAATGTCATCCACATAGACCAAGAAATACATATGAACTCCCCGAGAGGTATATATAAATAAGGACGAATCTGCCCTTGACTTATGAAATCCAAATTGAATCAAGAAGGTAGACAGCTCAACATACCATGCCCGAGGGGCCTGTTTCAAGCCATATAATGCTTTACGAAGGCGGCAAACATGAGTCGGATGTTGAGGATCAATATAGCCTGGCAGTTGATCAAGATAAACCTCATCATGAAGAGTGCCGTTGAGAAAGGCATTGTTGATGTCAAGTTGACGAATAGACCACCCATGGTTTAATGCCAAAGTAAGAATGATACGTACCGTTATAGGTTTCATGACAGGGCTAAATGTCTCCGAGTAATCACGTCCGACCTCCTGAGAATACCCCTTAGCCACAAGACGGGCTTTGTAACGGTCAATGGATCCATCGGGTTTCCGTTTGATTCGAAAGATCCATTTGCACCCAATAGTATGACAGCCGGTGGAGGGAACCAGATCCCACGTGCTATTTCGTTTGAGTGCAGAGTACTCCTCATCCATAGCAAGCCGCCAGAGGGGATCCTTCACAGCTTGAGTGACAGTCCGGGGTTCAAGAGTTGAAGCAGGAGAATGTACTGTGGAAACATTAATAAATGATGGACCGAAGTATTTTGGATTGGGATGACGAGACCGAGGGGGTCGAGAGACCTGGGTGGCAGAATTATGACAAATATTTGGTATTGGGTTTGTAGGTGCTACTGGAGAATTTAGTTGTGATAAGGGAGGAGTGGCAGGCGGTTGAGTGGGAGATAAGGATGGAATATGGTGTGGAGGAGTAGCATGGAAATTGGTAGATGGGGTCACATGTGGAGTGGAAATAGGAGATGAGGCTGACTCATTGTGGGAACTAGATACGACAGGTATGCGTACAGGAGGGAATGGGAGATTGGATGATGTGGAGGAAGAAATTGAGGGATAAATGTGGGAAACAAATTTGACATGCCGGGAAACGTACAATTTGTTTGATGAGGTGTCAAGACATTTGTACGCCGATTGAGATACGGAATAGCCCAAAAAAGTACACGGAACAGACCTGGATTGAAGTTTATGACTAGTATAAGGACGCAGCCAAGGAAAACATAAACAACCAAAAGGTTGTAATTTTGTATAATTAGGAACAGTCTGGAATAGGCGTTCATAGGGAGAGGCAAAGTTTAGTAACGGAGTGGGTAGACGATTGATAAGATAAACTGCAGTTTGAAAGGCATGAGGCCAAAATGTGACCGGAAGAGATGCCGTATGTAAAAGAGATAAGCCGGTTTCAACGATATGACGATGACGGCGTTCAGCTGTCCCATTGTGTTCAGGAGTGTGAGGGGGAGTGGTAAAGTGAGAAATACCAGCTAAATTTAAGAGAGGAAGTAATTTAATGAATTCCCCACCATTATCAGAAAATAGCGTCACAATTTTGTGATTGAATTTATTTTCCACAAGTCTACAGAATTGAGGAAATATAACATAGACGTCTGATTTTTTCTTAATAGGATACAACCAACTATATTTGGTGAAATGATCAACAAATATGACATAATAGAGAAATTCGTCAACGGATATTTGTTTTGTGCTCCAAACATCGGTATAAATAAGTTCAAGTGGACGAGTACTAGTAAGTGAATTAACCGCAAAGGGTAATTTATGACTTTTATTAATATGACAAGAGGTACACACAAACTCACTAAGTGACCGAGCAGACACGGTCATGTTACATTTATTTAAAATAGAAACTAAGACTTTATTGGACGGATGACCCATGCGGTGGTGGAGTTGAGATAAAGTAGATAGACTGGTAGCATTGATACTTGGTGGACTGACCGACGGAGCATAGTATACGCCATTGATATTTTCACCCCTGAGGATTGGACTCCCGGTTGGTTGTTCCTTCACAAGAAAATGAGATGGAAAGAATTCAACAGAAACTCGATTAGTTTTACAAAGTTGAGAAACTGAAACAAGATTTTTGTGAAGTTGGGGAACACAGAGAACATTAGTAAGCGAGAGAGGACGGGTAGGAGTAGAAACTAGGGTACGACCAACATGAGAAATAGGGAGAGACGTACCATTGCCTAAGTGAATTTCATCCGGACCGTCATATGTTGAAAACTCTTGAAGAGAAGCCACGCCAGAGGCTGCATGATGAGAGGCACCAGAATCAAACATCCAAGGGGTTGAGGGGCCTGAGAGTGCACTGGTGGTCATTGTAGTATGCACAGAAGGAGAGACAGTGAGATGATTCTCACGAAGAAATCGAGCCAGTTTGCGACAATCCTTAACAACATGCCCCTGAAAGTTACAAAATCTGCAAATGGGTGATGCCCGACTAGAAGTGTTCGGAGTGGAAGGCCTGGAACCAGCTGAGGATTGCTGACTGGAGCGTGAACGATAGCCACCATGAGGAGTGGAATCACGTTTGCGAGCATCAGTAGCAAACGAACCATGCGGAGTGTATCTCTGAGTAGCATTAGCAGTAGGTATTAATGAAGAAGCACTGGGTTCATCAGAAGCCTGCAGAAATCTCTCGTGATCAGTAAGAATCTGAGACAATTCAATCATGGAGGTGGGTGTGTTGCGGACACGTAGTGCACTGATGATGGGACGATAATCAGCACCTAATTGATTGAGAATGGATATGTGCAGATCAGTGTCAGACACCGGACTCTTGGCTAGGGCGAGATCACCGGCAATTTCTTGCATATCCTTTAGATACTCAGAGATTGAGCGATTGCCTCGCGGATTGCGAGAGAGTTTATCTTTGAGAGCAAGAATACGGCCTGGAGACGCATTGGCATAGCTGGTTAGAATAACATCCCATGCCTCCTTTGCCGTCGTGACATTGGAGATGAGAGGTTGAACCGAGTCAGTGCAGCTTCCAAGCAAGGCGCTAATCAGGATCTGATCCTGACGAAAATAAATTGAATAGCAGGGATTCGGAACCGTCTTGGCATTATCAGTGAATTTCGCCGGAATGACAAGCGTACCATCAACATAAGCAAGAAGATCATAGCCAATAAGTGTAGCTTCAACCTGTCGTTGCCAAACTGGAAAATTTCCAGCAGTTAATTTGATGGGAAGGTTGGTGGGTGCATTGAGTTGGACAAGAGAAGTGGATGCCGTGATTTCCATTATCAGGGAATGGAGGAATCAGGAGAAAAAAAAATTATTGAGGTAGAGGAAGCTCTACAAGGCTCTGGATACCATGTAAGCAATTGTGATTTTCATTGAATTGAAAAAGAATAGTACATCCGTATATGTAAGCTACAGGCAGTAGAGTTCAACTAGGATTCTAGTACTCATTCGTGCAGTTGGTTACAGGAGATATACATGAGTAAATACATATGGATATATACTAAACTATTAACAATAATTAATGATAATGGTTAAGATAAAAACTGATTAATGTATATCCTTTATAGTCTTTACCGTGACTAGAGGCTAGAGTTGCCCCTTATTACGTCTATGGAAGGATTTTGATAATATGCCTTAATTACGTATCCTTTAACAGAACTTACATTAAAACTTGCACCCAATTACATTTGGAACCAATGGGATTTACATTTCGACCTATCTCACCATGCAAAAATGATGTTTGTACACACTCTTATACACACTTTTGTACACACCTATGTCTGTGAAAGCTTTTTTTTTGTTTGTGAACATCGATTCACAGGCAATGTTTTGCACAAACAAAATATTGTCTGTGAACCAGATTCACAGATAAAAAAAAGTTTCACAAACATGGTGTGTATAAGGTGTGTACAAGAGTGTGTACATCAAGAATGGTTGCTCACCATGTTACATTTCATTGAATGTGATTTACATCTCAACTTGCTTGAAGTTACATTTTAATATACATGATTTACATTCCGTATATAACCAGCAAGAGAGTAACTTTTGAAAGGAGTAAAGTTACACTCCAGAGCATGAGTTACATTTATTCATAACTGAAATTACTTTTAGCAGAACGCGAGTTACATTTCAATACACACAATTTACATCACGAAAATTAATATTTATTGGCAAATAAATGATTTATTTGGCAAAAAAGTGATTTAAAAAAACATTTTACTGTGCTGGTAGTTACATTCATTATCAGCGTCAGTTACATATCTTTACACACGAGTTACATCATTCATGTTACTCTCACAAAAAAACAATTATTGTGCACGCGTGTACTGTTCACATGATTTTTAAAAAAAAGTTGTACAAAGCTACGTCGTTTTGGGAGTGGAGCATGGTGCTCACCGTGGGATGATCCCACGGTATACGAACTGCATTAGGAAAGTGGTAACTTAATTGCGGGACGGAGGGAGTATATTTTAGGATTTACTTCACATTATATGAAAATAAATAATTACATGATTTTGACTAAGTTATGTATTGTTTATAAAAGTGCGAGTAGTGACTATAGTAGTGATGATAGTAACTTATGGTCAATTTTTAAATTTAAGTGACCATGACACGGGGGGAGGGGGGTTGGTAAATGGCGTTTTAGTCAAAAAATGGCGGTTTGACCACTTTTAGCGTTTTCAATAAGTGAAAAAGTTGTTTGGTAAATAATTGGTCGACAAAGGCGTTTTTGAGCGAAAATGCTGAAACGGAAACGCTGCAAATAGAAGAGTTTTGAGTTAGCATTTTGATATATGTCGTTTTCTACTGATTTTATGGTCAAACAACTAAATTACCAAACATCTTCTGACAACCCGTCAACTTATTCCACTAGTCAAACTCGTTGACTAAATCTGCTATTAACAACCAGCTAACATAATCCGCTAACCGCTAAATGCCAAACACGCCACTATATTGGAGTGGTAACTATTAGTCATATTTGTGTAAATAACTTTTATTTTAGTAGTTGTTGAGGTTTATTCCCCTCAACCCGCAGGCCCAACACGTAACCTGAGGGTTTCGAATGGGTGGAAAGCAAAACAAGCTCACTAAACAACGGGGAGTGGGTTAATAACTGTATTTCATTCACTTTAGCGATTACAAGCCGAGAGGCTAAACGTACTGAGCTACGCTACGTGTCGTTGATGCTATTACAATTTTAGAGTGTCGAAGTGCGAACCCTTTACAATGAAATAAATGCGACTATTTATAGTATCTCATGGTGGTTGGGGGGCTGACGTGGCCGGTTGTGGGCGACATGATCCCAACTACCAAATTTCCCGCATTTAATGCGCTTCCCGCCAAGATCTTGGTTTCCCGCCATATCGTGGGGACGTCCGTCCCCTAAACTGGACTCAGCCCTCTGGTGGCAGCCTGGGCCCTTGAGCGTAGTCCACAAGACGTTCGTCCCCTGGTCCTTGGGCCCTGAGGCCTGGTTATGCTGAGCTACGTACGTCCCCTAGCCCTTGGGCCCTGAGGCCTGGCTATGCTGAGCTACGTACGTCCCCTGACCCTTGGGCCCTGAAGCTTGGTCCTTCGGAGGCTACGTACGTCCCCTGGCCCTTGGGCCTTGAAGCTTGGTCCTACGGGGCTACGTACGTCCCCTGACCCTTGGGCCCTGAGGCCTGGCTATGCTGGGCTACGTGCGTTCCCTGGCCTTTGGGCCCGGAGGCCTGGCTATGCTGGGCTACGTACGTCCCTAGGGGTTGATGGGCCGGCCCTAGTAGGCCATTAACCCAACACAAGTCCCCCACTTCTGATGTTCCGAGCGTGCGCGGGACATAAAGAAGTAAGATAACTTCCACCGTACCGCCTCGAGCTGTTACTCCCTTTTCCTCTAGGTGACGGTTGCTTCCCGCCATTGTTCGCGGGGCTCTAGGTGCCAACTATCTGGCCGGTTCAACTTCCAATGCAAAAGTAATCATTTCATATCAGTCCCTCTCCACGCGACACACGTCCCTGTATACGCTCCTTGCCACGCGTCGCCTGCGGGTTGGCCACTGATCCGGCGCCTCCCCTTATAAATACCGGGAATATGGGAAGGGTTAGGGCTTTTCATCCTTTGTCTCCTCTTGCCTTTCCAGTGCCGTTCAGCGATTATCTCGAGTTCCGGTGTTCATCCCTCTCCCAAGTTTTAGCAAGGTAATTCTTTAATCCAGACCCCTTCCTTTATTTTCGTAAACCGCCCCATGGCCTGCTCCATGGTGATTTCTTCCGATTCGGAAACTGGCTCTAGCTCTTCTACCGGCTCTTCAGCCGGTTCATCTTCGGCATCAGAACTCAGATCCCGTTCCTCGGCGGAAGCGAGCAGTTCTGGCCGTTCCAGCGCTTCTTCGATGATAGTTCCTGATGCAGTAGCTGATGCCGCGATCCCGGTCGCAGGAGAACATGTTGATATGGCCGTCGATCCTGAGAATGTCGTTGCGGTGATGGCACAACCTGCCGCGGCGGTGGGTCATTCAGCCGATCATGACTCGGGTGAGGAGGCCGAAGAAGAGGACGACCTCCGGATCTACAAGCTCGGCGTCCCTATGGATCATTACAGGCACATAGTGCTTATTCCCAATGTTGTCGTGATCGAACTGGTCTTCTCCAAGAGGGCCCTGAGGGACCTACAAATTATTCTCCACCTGCCTGCTTACTATAGCCTCCGAGGTGCAGAGAACCTCCTCATGAGACGTCCGGGCATGGTGATGGTGCACATGGATTCTGTAAAGGCCGGACTGCGCTTCCCGCTCCACCCGTTTTACCTTGATTTCTTCGAGATTTACAGTGTTGTTCCGGCCCAATTCATGCCGAACTCCTACCGTTTGATCTCTGCCTTCCTCGTTCTCTGCAAATCGCTAGGGCTCACCTTTACACTGGAGCTTTTCCATTATTTTTTCCAAGTCACTCCCCAAAATGTTGATGGGTTCCTGAGTGTGGCCGCTCGTCCCAAAGGAAAGCTGTTCGAGGGGGCTCCCACCTCTATCCACGACTGGAAAATCGCTTTTTCTTTATTCGCTATGCGGACGAGCGGCTTCTTGTGAGGTGGAATTGATACCCTCCGAAGGTTCAGGCGCCGGAGCTAACCCCGGCGTTGCGGGATGCCGTGGATAAGCTGAGGCTGGGCGGCGTTAGGAAGCTGAAGGACCTTCTGACCATTGAGGCACTTTCTGACGCAGGGATAGGTACCGCCCGTGATCCCTGGACTGGCATTCTCTCATGTTCATCTTGTGGGCCCGGGGCGGTCCATTCCCTGAGGTGAGTGCCTTTGTGATTCGCACCGCCCGGTACTAACATTCCTTCTTTGTTTCAGGTCCTCCCCCTACTCAAGAGCAAATGGATAGTGCAGCTATGGCAGATCGTCGTGAGGCAAAAGCCAACAAGGAACGGGCAGTGTTGGCTAAGGCTCGTGCGGCTGCCCAATCTTTAGGGGCCACTGCGTCTGCCGTGTCCCAGGCTAGTCAGCGCATTGCTGAAGTGGAGCGGCTTCTGGTCGCTGAGGTGACTGGGCAAACTTCTGAGGCCCATCATCCTCAAGATAACCGGGTCCTGAATGTGGACCCGGTCGGCGTTGGTATCCCCGCTGGTGGGGAAAAGGACAAGGGGAAGAAGCCGAAGAGGCCGCGCCTTGAGTCCTCTGTTCCTAAATCCACGAACGTCGTGGTGCCCTCCGCCGTTCGTCCGATCTCCGAGGTCTGGAAGGACATGGCCCTTCAGGCCAGGCTGGAGTTGTCAGGTCGTTCTTCGAGCAACTCTGTAGATAATGCTCTGCTTCTGAGCCTTGAGGTACGTTCCCCACATTTCCCCC